TCTGGGGAAAGCGTAGTACTTGGACCTGAACTTGTTTGAGAAACTACCGAGAAGGTGAAGTTAATTCGAGAAAAGATGAAAGCTTCCCAAAGTAGACAGAAGAGTTATCATGACAAGCGAAGGAAATATTTAGAATTTCAAGCAGGTGACCATGTGTTTCTGAGAGTTACGCATGTGACTGGTGTTGGGCGTCATTAAAGTCTAAGAAGCTCACTCCTTGTTTTATTGGACCGTGTCAGATTTTGGACAGAGTTTGCAAGATTACATATAGTGACTTTACCGCCTAATCTTTTGAATTTGCACTATGTGTTCCATGTGTCACAACTCTGGAAGTATACTTCAGATCCATCTAATGAGATTCGTATGGATGATGTGCAAGTACGGGATAATCTTACTATGGAGATGATGTATACATGAATCACATATCGTGAAATGAAGACTCTAATAGGCAAGGAGATTGCTTTGGTTAAAGTAGTTTGGTTAGGAGCTGCCAGAGAAAGTGAGAGTTGAAAATTAAGATGCGGGACTCCTATCCTGAGTTGTTCGAAGAAGGTAAATTTTCGATGACAAAAATATTCTAAGTGAGGGAGAGTTGTAATGCCCAATATTTAATTATTTATTTAATTGAATACTTTCAAATATTTTTTCTATTAAATTTTTGAAGTTGTGCAATGTTGATTTAAGTTGTGTCATTCTTAGTCAAATTAATTGATTGACTAAGTTGTATGATTAATATTGAATAATACTATTATTATTTATGTGAGCATATTTTAATGTTAGAAGTAGTAGAAAGGAAGGTGTATAAATTTAAGCTCAACAAGGAAAAATAAGAATAATAGTATAGTAGTTATATTATAATAGATGTTTAGAAATAATAGGAAATTAGAAGTATCGGTAGAAAGAAAGAAGAATAGGTTTTAGCAGAAGAAGAAAATAAGGGTTTTGGAAGAGATACGTAGAAGTACAAAGAGGAGGCAAAGCTAGGTGCAATTGGAGAGTTAGAGTAACCTTCAATCCAAGGTAAGGATGAAGTTTTGACTCTATAATATGGTATATGACGAATGGTATGTGGAATTGAGTTATAAAATTATTTTCGTTTGTGTTTGAAATTGATATATTGTTGAAATTGAGAGATGATTGAGAATTCAATTTAATATATATTCCGATACTGTAGCATAAAAATATAAGCGTCTATATTGCTTGGCATACTGTAGCGAAAGAATACAAGTTCCTATATACTTGGATATACCGTAGCAGCACCATGAATCAAAGTGAGAATGACAATATTGTACCAGCCATAGGTTTTTGTAAGAAATATCAATTTGAAATCCAATTTGACAAACATTGTAGCATAACTTTTTCAACTTTATGATATATATAAATTTCATTAGCATAAATAATTAATAATAAAATAATAATAATAATAATAATAATAATAATAATAATAATAATAATAATAATAATAATAATAATAATAATAATAATAATAATAATAATAATAATAATAATATTAATAATATTTTTAGAAATATTGAAATTAGAGATAAGTAATTGGACAAATAGTTAACTTGGGTTAATTTATATTCCGTTAGAGTTGTCAATAGAGTTGTTAGAGTTATCAATAAAATTGTCTGAGTTATTTTGAGTTATCAAGTCATATTATAATTGTTTTGGATAATTCCGACATATTTAGAATTGTCAGTAGGGTAAGTTAGAGTTTCCAAATAATAATACATCTTTGCTAAATTATGATTTATTATCAGTGTGGAAATTTGTTTAATCAATTGTAGTAGTATGCCACTAGAATAAATTAAGATAAGCAGCAGGAATTGATGGTAGACTTATTAATAAAGTGATAGTGTGGTATATGATTATAAGTAGCAGAAAGTGGAAATAGTATAAAGTAACAATAGTAGAAACAATATTTAGCAGGCTAAATCAATAGCAAGTTTAGAAGTTAATAAAATAGCAGAACCATATTATTGACAGTACAAACTCTAATAATAGTGTAGTATTAATTTAACAGAGACATAATGAGAACTTTAGAACAAAGTAGAAATAATAGAAATTTTAGCCGATAATTAATTAACTGGAAATAGTCGTAATAGTTTGAAAAATTACGCGGTTTATTTGTAGTAAATTTTGTTTGACTCGTTGTATTGTGTTCTTTGTTGAAAAATGTGAATTAGAATGTGATGTTATTGCCTCTGTTTGTGGGTAAAATATTAAGTTGTGGACTTATGGTCAACGTTGGTTTGTTATTGCGTTGCTATAGAATTTTGTTGTTGCTATCCTGACATTCATATTGGGTCGCATACATAATATATCAAGTTGGAGCTGATGCTCGGTAAGTTGGCCTGAATTGGCAAGTTAAGTTGAAGGCTTATGCCTTGTTGAAGCCTCAATTAATTGGCAGATTTCTAAGTTGGGAGTTTTTCTCCACACATGCATGTGCATTGTAATGAGTCGCATTCTGTGTTGTATATTTAACATGTTGTGTTGTTGACTTGTGATGATTGATGTTAGTTGAAAGTTGTGAAATGGTGATTTTTTATAATCTGATCTAATAAATTCTTTATGATACACTCAATTATATGGTTCGATATGTCACCCCTTCTATTTGAATGTTGCCCTCTGTTGGTAACGTACAGGTAATCAAGAAGGATAGTTGTTACCTTTGTTAGTTCGAATCGGTGTTGTCGCTCTGATATGTAGCACTCGGGGGGATGAATGCATATTTCCTTTATTGTTGGTTTTCATTATGTTGCTAAATTTTTAAGTTGTTTTCATTAAATACTTGTTGTCTTAAATTCGTTTTGACTTGGACAAGATGTTATGGTGTTTTCAGTTGAATTTGTGAATCCGGTGCGTAGCAACAAAAGTTGTTTTATTTTTAAAGACTAAACAGGTTATTATCGGTTTATCCAAATTTTATGTGTTATATATCTGAACTATAGGTGATTGAATATCGTTGTTTCCAAGTTGAAAGTGTAGCATTCCATTTGTTTGTTGGAAATTTTGTAACTATGATTTTATATAGTTTGTTGGGTAGAAATGAGGTGTTACAATGGTTGTCTCAGAAAAGCTATGTTGAAGGTGTTTTGAGAAGATATGGCATGAGCAAAGCAAAGTATGTGAGTACTCAATTGGCGAATCATTTTAAACTCTCTTTGGAACAATGTCTGAAGACCGACTCAAAGAATGAAGATATATCTAAGATTCATTATGTCAGCGCAGTTGGTTGTTTGATGTATGCTATGCTTTGTACTAGATCGGATTTGGCACAAGCAATTAGTCAAGTGTGCAAGTTCATGTCCAAGCTAGGAAAACAACATTGGGAAGCAGTCAAGTGGATCCTAAGATACTTGAAGGGTACAACAAATCGTGGTATCATGTTTTTGCATGGAATGAGGTGTTCCATCAGTTATGAAATATGTGGATTCTAACTATGCAAGTGATATGGATGATAGAAGGTCTACAAAAGGGTATGTAATTACTCTTGCAGGGGGCCTATATGCTAGAAATAATCAGTTTAATCCATAATAACCATGTGTACAATTGAGGCAGAATACATGACAGTAGCTAAAGCTGCCAAAGAAGCATTGTGGCTTACCGGGTTAGTGAAAGAGTTAGGTGTTGAGCAAAGTGGAGTTCAGTTGCATTGTGATAATCAAAGTGTTATCTATTTAGCGAAAATCAAATGTATCATGCTAGGACCAAGCATAATGATGTGAGGTTCTACAAGATCAGGAAGTTGTTGACGTCCAAACAAATATTACTTCAGAAGGTTCACACTTCAAAGAATGCAACTGATGTATTGACCAAACCAGTCACTATTGACAAGTTCATACACTGTTTTGACTTATTACATGTTTCTCAGTCTTAAGCAGGAGGTGTACCTCCACGGTTTTCAGGACAAATCATTATGCAAGAAGTCTTCATAGGGGTTTGATATTCGCCAAGGTGGAGATTGTTGAATATGACTTATATTGTTGAGATAATTAGGATTGTTGAGATAACTATGAGTTGTTGAGAGTATAACTCATATTATTGAGATAATTATGCGTTGTTGAGATAATTATAGGTTGTTGAGAGAATAACTCATATTGTTGAGTTAATTATGGATAGATATAATTATTTGTTGAGGGAATTAGGGATTAGAGTTTTAGATAATCTAAAACCTCGTATGATACACATATGATTTGTAACACTATAATCAAAATGTAATTCACAATACATAAAGAAAGAGAACTATAACTACCCTATAATTACATATGTAAGTAATTTGACCGAACTGCATGAACAAAACTTTTGTGTATTTATCTCTACTCTAATTTGTGTTTGCGTTACTCTTCTTACATAATCTATGTTATATTGTTGCCAATTAAATAAAATGATATATTAAGGAAGGGAAATGTTTGTTGGTAAGAATGATTAACTTGCAAAAATATGAACGAATTGTTTACAACCCTTGGATTGATTCTTTATAATATGTATTTATTATTTACATCATCCAATGGATCCAAATAGTACAACTCATTAAGGAAAAATCCAAATACTTTAAAAGATAGTGTAGATGAACTCTTTGTCACCACTTTCTCTAAAATATATTGTCTTTATTAAAAAAGAATCGATCAATAAAAAAAAAGTTTATATAGCAATTTGTTTTAAATAAGAAATTTACAAACAACTTACTAAAAATAAGTAAAGCACAACAACGAAAGTTGAACACACCTAAAAAAATACTTACAAAAAACAAACATATAATATAAAATAGATTAAATTATTAATTATATGCCAAAAGCACATTTGTATTTGTCGTAGTTCATTCAATTGACATATTTATTGCAACCTTAAAAAACGTTGAACACATTATAGCATTCTTACAACGCTTAAACAAAATCGTTATTACCAGAGGAGGTGAATTTGGTTTTACAAACAGTCAGAAACAAGTTATAAAAACAGTGGAATGCATAATTATTTTCTCAAACAAAATTCTAATGAGAAAAACAATGTCTTCATCCATTGGTCATACCTTATTATTACTTCTCTTATGCTTTTTTCTCCAGAAACCCACCCAAGCTATCAAAAAAGTAAGTTTTCTAATAACATAATTTAGTTTAGTTTGTAACATTAAAAATTATTACTATAGTTTGTAACATCATTGGAATTCATTTCATTGAATTTTTTGTTTTAAGATTCCTTATTTTTTTTCTTGACATAAAGTTTTTCATGTTGTGTTTTTGTTAGTCCTATGTTGTATACTTAGGACAACAATCTTATGGTTCGAGACTTTCAGCTCTTGATGTTGATTCTGTCACAAACTCTCACTATGCAATGCTTGGATCATATATTGGAAGGTAAAGAATTTAGCATATTTTCATGAATTTGGTTATAGCAAAATCAATATGAATTAATTATGGGGTTATTTTTCTTAAACAGCACCGAGAAGGCGAAAGAAGCAATATTTTACTCTTATAGTAAATATTTTAATGGCTTTGCGGCAGTGCTTGATGAAGATGAAGTTGCAAAGATTTCAAGTAAGATGTGTAACTTTATTTATCTATTAATGATCAATTTTTATACTGTATAATGCATCATAATTCTTATGGATATTTTAATTAACCCTTTGTAATTTTTGATGCAGAGAATCAAAATGTGTTATCAATTTTCTTAAACAAACCACGAGAACTTCACACAACTCATTCATGGGATTTTCTTGGACTAGAAAGAAATGGTGTTATTTCAAAACGTTCAATATGGAGCAAATCCAAAGGAGAAGATATAATTATTGGAAATTTAGACACCGGTAATAAATTTTGATTATTTATTTATTTATTTATGTGCAATGTGCCTTATGATATATGATTTGAAGCATTTGATAGATATATTATTATTGTTTTCTATAGACATTATATATATATATATATATATATATATATATATATATATATATATATATATATATATATATATATATATATATATATATATATATATATATATATATATATATATATATATATATATATATATATATATATATATATATATATATATATATATATATATATATGTTTTCAGCCATCACTTAAGGTTAATTATCAATTTTATTCATTTTGTATAAGCTTTTCTTTGCTAAACCTCTTAGAGAAGTTAGCACCCCTTCAACAATTTTTTAAGATATAAATACAAACTGTAATTATTCATAGAAATGTGTTATTCAATAAGAATATGTATTTTTTTTAATAGAAATCGGGTATCCTCTGCGCATAATTGAAGAGACTAATCCTTCGAGTCGAGTAATCAAAATAGGTGATAAAACAATCCCTTAAAAAAATTAACATTACCGCGTATTCAGGACTGAGATCGAACCCAAAACATCTGATTAAACTTTGGGGTGGCAAACGGGTATGCCCACCCCGTTTAAGCCCGTCCCGCAAAAGTCCATAAAAAATAGGGCGGAGCGGGTATAGTTGAGGATGAGAACCTAAAACTTAGGTCCGCCCCGCAAAAAAGTGAGTGTGGAGCGGAGAAAGCCCACAAACATTACACCTTTTAAGCCTAAAAATACAAAATTTTATGTTAATGTTCACGTCCGCAAAAACTCGTGAAAAAAACGGAGCGAGCGGTCACATTAGAGGGTGAGGGTCTAAATTATTAACCCGCCACACATTAAGGTGAGAGCAAAACGGGCATGCCTAACGAGCCAGACCCATTTTGCCACCCGTAATTAAACCGGATATTTGAATATGACTTGGCTGCTTTGTTCTCCACCATTACCCCAATAGCTTCCCATTTCTCCAAGTGCAAACCAGTCAAAAAATTTCTTAGCTACAAGGCTTAACAACTATTGTGGTTGGAATAAAGTCTGCTTCAGTTATTGATTCGGTAACAATTTCTTGTTTTTCGAACACCAAGAGAATATCCTTGATCCATAAAAAAACACTAACCTGAAGTGGTTTTGATGTCTTCTAAAGGCCAATGCCCAATCAATATCAGAGTAACCTTGCAATTTGAAATTTTGTGATCGACAAACTTGATACCATAATTTAAGGTTCTCTTGACATACTTCAATACTCTTTTTGCTCCTTTGAAATGAAGTTGTTTTGGAAAATATATGAAATCTTGAAAGTACACTTACAACCTACAAAACATCAGGTCTTGTAGTTGTAAGATATATTAAGCAACCAATTAAAATTCTGTAGAGTGTTTCATCAACTTGTTCGGCCTTATCATTCTTGCATAGCTTATTCTTTGACATAAAGGTGCTCATGATTTTACACTTCTCCATGTTGAATTTACTTAGCATCTTATTTGCATACTTCCTTTGATAGACAAAGATATCACCTTGTTTCTACTCAACTTCCATACCATAGAAATAAGACATTTCTCCGAAATCTGACATCTCAAAGACTCGCTTCATGTCATCCTTGAACAAGTTCAATGATGTTTCCAGTAACCAAAAGATCAACAACAAACATAGAGATAACAAATCCTAATTTCATTAAGTACCCATCAATATTGTTGTAACAAATTCTAATTTCAAACCATACAAGACCTTCTTTAATAGATAGACTTTATCCGCATCGCCTTTTGCAATAAAACCTTTGGGTTTCTCGAAATATATTTCCTCCTTTAAATATTCATTTAAGAGCACAAATTTGATATCAAGATGGCATATTTTCCATCCTTTTTGTGCTGTAATAACTAACAACGTCCTAATAATATCTAGCCTTGCAGTGGGAGCAAATGTATGGAAGAAATCTACTCCAAATATTTGAGCATGCCCTTTAACTACTAACCATGCGTTATGCTTGTTGATTGATCCATTTGCATTTATCTTTGTTCTTCACACCTATGAGTTTTTCGTTTTATGGTATGCTGAAAAGTTTCCAAGTTTGACTTTTATTAATCATGGTAAGCTCCTTCAACATTACAACCCTCCATTTGGGATATTCTTTTGCATCCTAATACCATGAAGGTTCAAGGACCGCAACATTGCATTTTTATAAATATATGAGAGCAATCTACTACCTATTACAAAATGATCATCACACATGAACTCATCTTGATTTTGCCAAAGTCATCAATTTGCTTCTGTTTTTTATCATTCCATCTCTACTGCTCATTCTCCATAAAGTGCTCATTGTTAAATTGTAATCCAATGTGTCAAAACTATGTGTCGAAAAGATTTGATTTGTTTTAGATTTAAATAGATTTGATTTAAGTCTAGAATAAATTAGATTTGATTTAGTAACAAAAAGATATTTTTGGGCTTTGGGCTTAGGGTGTAAGCTCAGTTATAAATAGAGGGAGTAACCCTATTTTTTGTAAGCAAGTCAAGCAAGTCATTCACAGTATTTTGCAGTTGCAAAGTGAATAAGAAAGTTTTCACAGTTTGTGAGCAGAGAGAAACTCTGCAGAAATTATTTGTCTTGTCTTCTTTTATTTGTTTGTCTCATAATTAAATTGTCATTGTGGTAGAAATTCATCATAGACTTTGGTGGATTTCCAACATCTGGTATCAAGAGCTTTGTTTCGATTCAAGGAAAGTGTCAATCAAGAACGATTGAAGAATTCACGATGACAAGTTATGAGAATGCAAATTATCCAGCAACCCTACCAATTCTGAAAGTTGACAACTATGAGAATTGGTGCAAACAGATGAAAGTCTTATTCAGGTGTCAAGGTCTTTGGGACCTTGTTAAAGATGGAGTCGAAGCGCTTGGAGAAAACGCTTCAGAAGAAGAAAAGAAGAAATACATAGAATCTGAGAAGCTGAGTTATAAAGCATTATTTATAATTCATCAATGTGTCAGCCCAGACAATTTCGAAAAGGTTAGTGATTCAGAATCTGCAAAAGAAGCTTGGGAAATCCTTGAAAAGTCTTTTGGAGGCGCTGAGAAAGTGAAAGAAGTGAGGTTACAAACTCACAAAAGGACCTATGGAACTGCTTCAGATGGAAGACAGTGAAAGTATATCTGATTTCTTCACTAGAGTTACAAAACTAGTAAATTAAATCAAGATATGTGGAGAAGCGTTAACAACAAGAGCTGTTGTGTCGAAGATCTTGAGATCTTTAGCTCCTAAGTTCGACCACATAGTGGTGGCGATAGAAGAGGGGAAAGACTTGTCAAAATTGACAAAGGAAGAGCTTCAAGGGACGCTTGAATCTCATGAACAAAGAATGAACAAAAGAGCTGCAGGAAAATCGAAGAGTGATGTGGCCTTGCAGGCACATTCAGCAAAAGAGACCAAAGGAAAAGGAAAGTGTTTCGACAGAGGTAGAGGTGGCTACAACAAATCGAATGGTAGAGGAAACCAGATTGAAGGAAACGTGTCGAATCAAAGAAGACCATACCAAGGCAACCAAAGAGGTGGTGTTGCAAATAGAGGAAGAGGTGGTGGTCAAAAACCTGATAAGAGTCACATTCAATGTTACAATTGTCAGAAGTATGGTCACTATTCGAGCGATTGTCCAGAAAAACGAAAGAATCAAGAAAGTGATGCAAAGCTTGCAAAATATGAAGAAGAAGAAGAGATGATGCTGATGGTCACAACAAGAGATGAAGATAGATTCAAGGACCAATGATACTTGGATTCAGGATGTTCATCACATATGTCTGGAAGGAAAGACAGGTTCGTCAATATAAAGCCCTCAATGAAAAATATGGTAAAATTTGCAAATGACAATACCCTAGCAGCTGAAGGTATTGGTGATGTTATGATCATGAGGAAAGATGACAAAAGGTCAGTAATCTCCAATGTGTTGTACATACCAGGCACGAAGAGCAATTTTCTCAGTATAAGGCAGATGGTCGAAAAGAATTATAAAGTGTCAATCGAAGATAAGATGATGAGAGTCGTTGATGCAAATGGGAGATTAATCTTGAAGGCTCCTATGTCTCAGAATCGAACCTTCAAGATTGAACTAAATGTGATGGAGTACAAGTGCCTTTCGATTGCAGCTAGCAGAGATGAATGAATATGGCATTATAGACTAGGCCATCTCATCTTCAGAGACATCAGAGATTTGAAGAGAAGAAATATGGTTTCAGGATTGCCAGAAATTGACATTCCAAATGAGGTATGTGAGGAATGTGTGCAGGCGAAGCAACACAAGAATAGCTTCAGCAAGGATGCAGGAAGCAGATCGAAGGCTAGTCTTGAAGTCATATACTCTTATGTATGTGGACCAATCCAGGTGGATTCGATGGTAGATAACAAATACTTTGTTACATTCACAGATGATTTCAGTCGAAATCTATGGACTTACCTGATCAAGAAGAAAAGTGAAGTGATCTAAGTATTTACCAAGTTTAAGTCTATGGTCGAAAGACAAAGTGGTCGAAAGCTCAAAGTTTTGAGAACTGATGGTGATGGAGAATATGTGTCGAAAGACTTCGACAGATTATGTGAAAAGGAATGGATTATGCATGAGGTGGTGCCACCCTATACTCCATAACAAAATGGAATTGCATAAAGGAAAAATTGAACCATCATGAATATGGTGAGAAGTATGTTGAAAGGAAAGAATTTACCTAAAGAGTTTTGGGGTGAAGCTGTTTCGACTGCAACATACATTTTGAACGGATGTCCTACAAAGAAGCTAGAAGGAATTACTCCAGAAGAATGTTGGTCTGGTGTGAAGTCTAGCTTGAGTCATCTGAAGGTATTTGGATCTATTGCACATAGACATGTGCCAGATCAGTTGACAAGAAAACTTGATGATAAGTCAAGTCAAATGATTCTAGTTGGATATCATTCGACAGGAGGCTACAAGTTGTTCGATCCAGTGAAAAAGCA